GCAGTCTTCCAAAACCCTCCGATCGTGTTCTTGAATGGCTGGAAGGATGAGTTTGATTTCCCTTTCCCGGCAGCCATGCGAGTGTGTCTTTGTAAAGTTTGGAACCCTCCAAGCTAGATTTCTTGGTTTTCCCGTATAAAACCACAGGGGCCCAAATCTGATATTTGTCCGCTCAGGATCTCGGCCACAAGGCCGATATCGTAAATGAGAGCGGTTCGTAGGCCACGTAAATGATGAGGAAACACCTCGTGAAATTTTTTCGGCTGAACCTTCCCCAAAAAGGGTTGGATTGCTGAAAGGGAAGGTCGCCAAGGGAACCAAGAGCGGCTTATGTTTTGAGCTGCGCTATTTCCGGATTCGCTCTATGGGTTGCGCAACCCAACCCAAAATCAAGCAGGGGTGTATCAAATTCTGGCCCCCCAAGTCTCCAAGAATGCCACGCATAGCTTTTTGGGTTGTTCCTCTGGCAGCGAAAAGCCCGAACTGCTCCAACACACAATGTTGTTCGGGGCTGATGGTTGAAAGGGAGCCGTTCCGGAGCTGAGGTTCTCCAAGCCTCTCTTTGAGGGAGCCTTTTGTTGCTGGTGCAATAGGGAATGACCGAGAGAGGGTGTTGATGAACCGGTTTCGGGGATTCCTTTAAACAGAAGCCCCGAGTAGTGCCCGTTTACCCTTTTTTGGGAGAGGGTTCCCCTACCAAATGAGACTACAGAAAAAATAAGTTGGTACCAACGTATTCTAACCTCTCAAATCTGGAGGGGTCACTCCCACGTCTCCTAACATAGAACCTGAATGGGATGGTTAGGATACTTCTCGGTTCTATGTTAGGATATTAATGGGATGGTTTTCATCGGGGTCACTCCCACGTCTCGTTGCCTGCGTATCTCTCGCGCCGATCGCAAGTTCCGGAGCGGATGGGAGCGCTGGGTAGGGACGTGGCCGCTCTGCTCAGGTTGAGGACTTTGAGAATGAGGCAGGCGTCATGTGGCTGATCATGCTGGGGTTGATCCAAAGGTCCGGTAGATATGGGAGGACCCATTGGTAAACGGAAAGCCACGAAAATGATAATATTTCAACCACATGGGAAGAGTTACCCATGGTCATTTTGGTGGCCGAACGTGTGAAAAAACAGGTACTAGGGTGCGCCCAATGATGTCACGCCCTGAGCTCGTGGACGGTCACTTTTTGGGGTTTCGTGGCCAATTTTCGCGGCAAACCAAAAGCTTGGACTGATTTTATGACCCATCCACTCATCAAGTGAGTTCTCGAATCCTGCGCAAGACAAGCAAAGCTGCGGACTATGAGTCGCTGCGGCAGGAGGCCGCGAGACGATGGGAGAAGGGTCGGGCAAAATGGTTTGCAGCTGCTTTCCAGAGTTTGCCCCTTCCACATATTGACACGGAATTGACAAAAGGCGTAAACCTCCCACCAGCTAACATGGAAGTAGAAAGACTACTTTCCTCTTGGGAAGTTTTTTTTTGTTTGCACACTTCCATGTTAGTTGGTGGGAGGGTAAAGCATTAACCTTAGAGTGTGACCCATACTTTATGAAACCCAATATCAGAGACAAAATCAACAGAGACAAAGGCATAAACCTCTCATTGTTTGGAGCATGGCCATTCTCCACAGACAGAGCTTCCATTTTTCTGCGGGACGGAGCCCAACCCAATCGGCTCGGATTTGGAGAGTGGCATTCGGCACGTGAGCCACAATCAAAACCCGGGTAGATGAAGGTTAGTAAGGGGCAGTCCCAGCCAGAAATAGTTGCGGCCGCCTTCTTAATTCTTTACATGGTTCTGGGTAGACCATTTTACCGGGTTTTTGGGGGGAGGGTTACCCTACTAAAGTAGACGAATCAGAAAAGAAAATCGGGTACCAACTTATTGAAACCTCTCAAATCTAGAGGACCTAGTAGATCTTGTCTCACTTTGGGGGGAGGGTTCTTTTCTACTAGAATAGACGAATCAGAAAAAAGCATCGGGTACCCTTATTACAGCCTCTCTTCTTGAGGACCTAGTTCTTGAATCGGGTTGCCCGCCAAGGAGAGCAGGACCCATTTGGCTGTGGATCACATTTTGGGGTAGGTGCACCCATTTTAGAACCTATTTTAGAGGGAATTGGGATGTTCACTGGGGGTACAGGATTTTGACCCATGGCCATTTGTTTTTCTTCTTTTTTTTTCTCCTGGCTTAGAACCGGCGATTCGACTCTTGGGGCCACTTGCTGCAGGCTTTTCGGGTGAAAGGGGGGTATGCAAGATGGTTTCCACCAACCCCCCCACCTCCCACTCAGTTGCCCAAAGCCGACCTTTTGACCTTTTGGCCTAGTTTTAGTCATGGCCCCAAAAGGTTAACCTTTTATTTCTGGGTCCTTTGGGCAAGTGAGCCCAAAGCAGCAGACCTGTTTTGTGTTGGAAGGCAGCTTCTTTTCCAGGGAGGGGTTGGAGTGGAAGCTTGGAGCGTATGTAATTTTGGCGAAGTGGTTGCTCATTTTCCCTTGG